TGAGTTTTCCAGGGTGTATGGCCATGTTCCGGAAGCATTCTCTCCTGACATTCCACTCACAGCTATGTGGGTGAAACATGACCATGTTCCAGAAGCATTCTCTCCTGATGTTTCACCCACATAGATGTGGGTGGAATGACAGGAGAGAATGCTTTTGGAGCATGGCCATACACCCCGGAAAACTCACAGCAACCCAGCCTTTGACAACACAATGATTATTTGAATTCTTGAAGTACAATATTCAGAGCACCTTGGGATACAATTGTAATATCCCACCTATTTGTTGTTATGTGCCTTACAGTCATTTTCAACCTATTAGTGATTCAGTCATTGGGTTCTCTTGACAAAGATGTATTCAAAAGAGACTGAGGTTAAAGGGAACTCAGTGGGTTTCCATGGCTGAAGCCCAGGATGCATCTATAAATTAATACAATTTGACACTACTTTAACTGCCATGGGTGCATTTTCAAATTAACAACTCTTTAACTGCCATGGCTCAATGCTATGGAATCCTGGAAGTTGTAGTTGAGTATGACACCAGCACTCTTTAGCAGAAAAGCCTAAAGACCTTGTAAAACTACAACTCTCATGCTTCCACAGCACTGAGTCCTGGCAGTAAAAGCGGTATCAAACTGCATTCCACCTACAATACAGGTGGACCCTTGTCCAAGGTCCCTTCATGGTTTCCATGGCTGAGTAATATTTAATATTAATATACTTTATTTCCTCTGCCTGGGGGGACTCAGGGCAGCCTACAGTACACATATAAGGCAAACATTAAATGCTGATTATACAATTAACAAAGACGGACAATCCATAAACACAGGTAGAGATTTGAACCCTGGTCTCCCACTTGCATAGGTCTGAAATAAGACAACACAAGGATTACAGTGGCCGACACAGATTTGAGTGCTTCAAATATCAGTCCTGTTTCTACGTTGCATAAAGACAGGATAATCAGTGGCCAACACACATTTGGTGCCTCAAATATCAGTCCTGTTTCTGCATCTGATCTGCTGATTCCAAAAATGGCAGTAGTTTCCCTCAACTGACTTGAATTTTTGAGATACAGAACATATGCTATCTACCAGTCATCATCCGCTTGCCCGGAGAAAGTGACAACAGACATATCTAAAAAACTAGAACCGATGCAGTCTATCCAATGCAATTTTCTGAACCAGTGCCCCAAATAACCCTAGGAACAGACTTAAACACCAAGACATTGAATTCTTAAAGTACAATATGTGAATTCTTAAAGGACAACATTCAGCCAGGGCACCTTTGGTAGACCATCAGTCTAGTGCACCCATGGGCAAACTTCGACCCTCCAGACGTTTTGGACTTCAACTCCCACAATTCCAAACAACCTACCAGTGCATCTACACCACTGTTTCTCAACCTTCCTAATGCCGTGGCCACTTAATACAGTTCCTCATGTTGTGGTAACCCCCAACTATAAAATTATTTTAATTGGTACTGTAATTTTGCTACTGTTACGAATTGTAATGTAAATATCTGATATACAGAATGTATTTTCATTCACTGGATCAAATTTGGGACAAAATACCCAATTTTGTCATTTTGGAGTTGTAGTTGCTGGGATTTATAGTTCACCTACAATCAAAGAGCATTCTGAATCCCACCAACAATGGAATTGAACCAAATTTGGCACACAGAACTCCCATGACCAACAGAAAATACTGGAAAGTTTTGGTGAGCATTGACCTTGAGTTTTAAAGTTGTAGTTCCCCTACATCCAGAGACCCCTATGGACTCAAAGAATGATGGATCTGGACCAAACTTGGCACAAATACTCAACATGCCCAAATGTGAACACTGGTGGAGTTTGGGGAAAATAGACCTTGATATTTGGGAGTTGTAGTTGCTGGGATTTATAGTTCCCCTACAATCAAAGAGCATTCTGAACCCCACCAATGATACAATTGGGCCAAACTTCTCACACAGAACCTCCATGACCAACAGAAATTACTGTGTTTTCTGATGGTCCTTGGTGACCCATTTGACACGCCCTCATGATCCCCCATGGGGTTCCAACCCCCAGGTTGGGACCCCATGCTACTCAGTAACTCCCAAATGTCAAGATCTGTTTTCCCCAAATTCCAAAAGTGTTCACATTTGGGCATACTGAGTATCCGTGCCAAGTTTGGTCCAGATCCATCATTGTTTGAGTCCACAATGCTCTCTGGATGTAGGTGTACAACTCTAAAACACAAGGTCAATGCCCACCAAACCCTTCCAATATTTTCTGTTGGTCATGAGGTTCTGTGTGCCAAGTTTGGTTCAATTCCATTGTTGGTGGAGTTCAGAATGCTTGTTGATTGTAGATGAACTATAAATCCCAGCAACTACAACTCCCAAATGCAAATTAACCCCTCTCAAAAATTTGGGTGTATCAGGTATTTGTGCCAAATTTGGTCTAGAGAATGAAAGAAAAAAATCCTGCATACCAGATATTTACATTACCATTCATAGCAGAAGCAAAACTACTGTTAGGAATTAGCAATGAAAATGATTTTATGGTTCAGGGTCAGCCCAACATGAAAAACTATGTAAGGGGACATGGCATTAGGAAGGCTGAGAAACACTGGTCTAGTGTGATGTTCCCCAGAGTTGTGGGGTGCATCTACACTGTAAATTTAATGCGGTTTGGTACAACTTGATGGCCGTGCCCTTCCACACAGCTGAATATAATCTCACATTATCTGCTTTGAAGTGGGATACATGGCAGTGTGGACTGAGCTATTCCAGTTCAAAGCCAATATTATTAGTTATTCTGCCTTGATATTCTGGGTTATATGACTGTGTGGATGGGCCCTCAGTGCTATGGAATCAAAAGAGCTGTAGTTCAGCAAGGGACCCTTCCACGCAGCCCAGAATATCAAAGCAGAAAATCCCACAATATCTGCTTTGAACCGGGTTATCTAAATCCACACTCAGATAAAGTAGGATTTCCTGCCTTCGTAATTCTGGGATATAGGGCTGTGTGGAAGTTCTTTATCCTTCCCTACTAAAGGGGGCTGGAGCCTCACCAAACTACAGCTCCCACGACTCCAAACAGAATGATTTCCAGAGCATGGCTCAAAATGCCTTGGCATGAAGCTGTCTTCATCACAGTAGAAGGAAAAAATCCACTTAAAAAGCTGAAGCACACTGATCAACCCCGGATTACGATGCTTTGAGATGCTTGTGAGCAAGTCACTCAGCACTCTACTCATCACACTAGAGAAGTGTTTCTCAACCTAGGGGTCGGGACCCCTGTGGGAGTGTCAGAGGCCAAAAACCATTAGAAAACACAGTATTTTCTGTTGTTCATGGAGATTCTGTGTGGGAAGTTTAGCCCAATTATATCGTTGGTGGGGTTCAGATGCCCTTTGATTGTGGGTGAACTATAAATCCCAGCAGCTACAACTCCCAAATGTCAAGGTCTATTTCCCCCCAAACTCCACCAGTGTTCACATTTGGGCATATTGAGTATTTGTGCCAAGTTTGGTCCAGATCCATCATTGTTTGAGTCCACAGTGCTCTCTGGATGTAGGTGAACTACAACTCCAAAACCAAAGGACACTGCCCACCAAACCCTTCCAGTATTTTTCTTGGTCATGGGAGAACTGTGTGCCAAGTTTGGTTCAAGTCCATTGTTGGTGGGGTTCAGAATGCTCTTTGATTGTAGGTGAACTATAAATCCCAACAACTACAACTCCCAAATGACAATTGTCCCCAAACTCCACTAGTATTCAAATTTGAGCATTATTGGGTATTTATATTGTCCAGTGAATGAAAATACATCCCCTACATATCAGATATTTACATTATAATTCATAACAGTAGCAAATTCAATTATGAAGTAGCAACAAAAATAATGTTATGGTTGGGGGTCACCACAACATGAGGAACTGTATTAAGGGTCACGGCATTAGGAAGGTTGAGAAACACTGAGCTAGAGAAAGAATCCACTTTAAATCCAGTTTCTGCCTCCTTCAGAATTCTGGGGTTATAGTTTAGGGGGGAGCCGTTAACAGCTTCACTAAACTACAAACCTCGGAATTCTGCAGGAGGCAGAAACCGGATTTAAAGTGGATTCATTCTCTAGTGTGATGAAGTACACTTTAAATCCAGTTTCTGCCTCCTGCAGAATTATGGGTTTGTAGTTTAGGGAGGGGCTTTACAGCTTCCCTAAACTACAAAACCTAGAATTCTGCAGGAGGCAAAGACTTGACTTAAAGTGGATTCATCCTGTAATGACTAGAGGATGAATCCACTTTAAATCCAATTTCTGCCTCCTGCAGAATTCTGGGATTTGTAGTTTAGGGAGGGGCCTTTAACAGCTTCCCTAAACTACAAAACCCAGAATTCTGCAGGAGGCAGAAATCAGATTTAAAGTGGATTTATTCCCTAGTGTGATGAGGAAAGGAAAGCATGGACTGCAACCCAATGCAATGCTGCCTCCGGCTTCTTTCTCCACGCTGACTACTTCATTACACTAGAGGGGGAAAAATCCACTTAAAATCCGGTTTCTGCCTCCTGCAGAATTCTCTTTGTAGTTTAGTGAGGCTGTTAAAGGCTCCCCCCTAAACTACAAACCCCAGAATTCTGCAGGAGGCAGAAACCGGATTTTAAGTGGATTTTAAGTGGATTTTTCTCACTAGTGTGATGAGAAACTGAATGAATGCCGTTCCAACCACACTTTGCTGTGGAGTTGTAGTTTGCCACGGCCTCGAGAGCGTGCCAAACTCCCTGGATGTCGCTCGCACCGAATGGCAAGTGATAAGTCGGCTCAGAACGGCATGCCTTCTCTGTGAATCCGCTCCTAGCCCAAGTCCCGGCGTGGAGACACAATAACTTCCCTCCTCTGAGTGCCTATGAGAAGAGAGGCGAGGGAGATCCTGGGGGAGACAATGAGGGACGGAAAGGCACATGCAGGGAGGCCTCTCTTCCCTCTTTTCTTGCCCCCTCCAGCCCCTTCCTCACCAGCCCCTCACCTCCTCGTCTCGGCTTCTCCGGCTCTTCTCCGACTTTCCCGGCGAAGAAGAGGGGGAACAAGGTATCCAATTGGTTCCAACAGCCTCCTCCGTCTCTCTGTGTCTCAGCGATGCTCTGCTCCTCAAGCCCAGCGCGTTGCAGCAGCAGCAACACACATTTCTGGTCTAGAGAGAAAGAGAGAGAGAGGCGGGGAAAGAGAGGGAAAGCAAGACGGAGAGGCGTGGTCCTCTTTCCCTCAGCGAAGAGGAGGAGGAGGAAGAGCAGGCCGGCTTCACAGCCACCAGCACAAGCATTGAAAGCCAACAAGCCCCGGCACAGCCCTGCCCAAAGCTGCGGGCTGCGCTCTCTCTCTTTCTCTCTCTCCCAGGAGAGCTCTCAGCCCAAGCTAAAAATACCGAAGTTGGAGAGAAAAGTTCCTGGGCTCTTCTTCGCCCAACCCGAAGGTGGAGAGAAGAGACAAGGAGGAGCCCGGCTTCTCTGGACAGCAAGAGAGACCCTTCTCCTGATCCCTTGCCAGTCCAGAAGCATCAAGGGAGAGGCACACTTTAGACTGACTTAGGGGGCATCTCTGGAATGTAACCCAGGAACAAAAACCATGGTGTAGAAAGGATTAAAGCACCCCCAACAGATGGCCACTCAGCCTCTGACAAATAATAATAATAATAATGATGATGATGATGATGAAAAACAAGAAAACTTATTTATTTATTTATCGTGTCATCCGCAACCCGAACCATTGTATTACATTTCTAACAGAACAAAACAAACAAACAGATTAAAAAAACACAAATTTTGCAAACTTGGTAGTTGATTAAATGTCCTTTGACCAGTATCTGGCCACTTGGAGTGCCTCTGGTGTTGCCGCAAGAAGGTCCTCCATTGTGCATGTGGCTGGGCTCAGGGTGCATTGCAGCAGGTGGTCAGTGGTTTGCTCTTCTCCGCACTCGCATGTCGTGGATTCCACTTTGTAGCCCCATTTCTTAAGGTTGGCTCTGCATCTCGTGGTGCCAGAGCGCAGTCTGTTCAGCGCCTTCCAAGTCGCCCAGTCTTCTGTGTGCCCAGGGGGGAGTCTCTCATCTGGTATCACCCATGGATTGAGGTGCTGGGTTTGAGCCTGCCACTTTTGAACTCTCGCTTGCTGAGGTGTTCCAGCGAGTGTCTCTGTAGATCTAAGAAAACTATTTCTTGATTTAAGTCGTTGACGTGCTGGCTGATACCCAAACAAGGGATGAGCTGGAGATGTCTCTGCCTTGGTCCTTTCACTATTGGCTGCAACTTCCCGGCGGATGTCAGGTGGTGCAATACCGGCTAAGCAGTGTAATTTCTCCAGTGGTGTAGGGCGCAGACACCCTGTGATAATGCGGCATGTCTCATTAAGAGACACATCCACTGTTTTAGTGTGGTGAGATGTGTTCCACACTGGGCATGCATACTCAGCAGCAGAGTAGCATAGCGCAAGGGCAGATGTCTTCACTGTATCTGGTTGTGATCCCCAGATTGTGCCAGTCAGCTTTCGTATGATATTGTTTCTAGCACCCACTTTTTGTTTGATGTTCAGGCAGTGCTTCTTGTAGGTCAGAACGGTCCAGAGTGACTCCCAGGTATTTGGGTGCGCTGCAATGCTCCAGTGGGATTCCTTCCCAGGTAATCCTCAGAGCTCGGGATGCTTGTCTGGGGGACATGAGAGAAGCCTCCTCGCAGGATTGCAAGACATCCGGGCATCCCCTGGGCAACGTCTTCGTAGACGGCTGGTTCTCTCGATCCAGAAGCAACCAGAGACAACAAGAAAACTGATAACAATCCACTACTCATTACACCCGCATAGTGATGTCGACAGACTTTACCTACCCAGAAAATCAGGAGGCAGAGGGCTTCTGCGAGTGAAACAAAAGGTAGAAAAAGAGACTTACTTACTTACTTAGGCGATCCCTCGTTGGACAAGTAAGATGGTCTTCCTTGATGACTATTTTTGTGGGTTTGTAGGTGGCTGTGGAGCCCTATTCTTGACCCGCATCTTCTCCCACAGTGAAGGCATTGGTTTCCAGGTGGAAGGCGGTCCCGGTCGGGGTTGGCTTGATGCGCCTTCCTCCTGGCACGTTTCTCTCTTTCACCCTCCACTCGTGCCTCCTCAAATTCTGCAGCACTGCTGGTCACAGCTGACCTCCAGCTGGAGCGGTCAAGGGCCAGGGCTTCCCAGTTCTCAGTGTCTATGCCAGAGTTTTTAAGGTTGGCTTTAATGCCATCTTTAAATCTCTTTTCCTGTCCACAACATTCCGTTTTCCGTTCTTAAGTTCAGAGTAGAGCAACTGCTTTGGGAGACAGTGGTCAGGCATCCAGACAACGTGACCGGTCCAGCGGAGTTGATGGCAGAGGACCATCGCTTCTCTTCAAGAAGAAGAGAAACATGCACTGGCAGATTATGTGAAAGGCAGTCAAGAACCAACATTGAGGAAAGTCAATACTATTAAACTGCTCCAAGTGCAAAAGACAAAGAGGGAATACCATAAAAACACAATCAAGGCCATAAACTTCAGGGCCATACCCAGAGGTGGCCCTAGGTAATTTTCAACGTTAAGCAAACAGTATTTTGGTCCCCCCCCCCCCAACCAATCACTGATATATATATTTTCTGTTTGTTGTGGGAGTTCTGTGTGCCATATTTGGTTCAATTCCATCATCGGTGGAGTTCAGAATGCTCTTTGATTGTAAGTGAACTATACATCCCAGTAACTACAACTCGCATATGTCAAGGTCTATTTTCCCCCAAGAGTGCCTCAAGAGCGCCCCTGGGCAAAATCAACTATACTACAAATGCTTACTTTGCATAATGGGTTGAGCCGCCCCTGGCCATACCTGTCATAAGATATACTGGGTTGTTGTAGGGTTTTTCGGGCTATATGGCCATGGTCTAGAGGCATTCTCTCCTGACGTTTTGCCTGCATCTATGGCAAGCATCCTCAGAGGTAGTGAGGTCTGTTGGAACTAGGAAAAAGGTGTTTATATATCTGTGGAATGACCAGGGTGGGACAAAGGACTCTTGTCTGCTGGAGCTAGGTGTGAATGTTTCAACTGACCACCTTGATTAGCATATAATGGCCTGACAGTGCCTGGATCAAACTTTTGTTGAGAGGTGATTAGATGTTCTTGTTTGTTTCCTCTCTGTTGTTGTGCTGTTGTAATTTTAGAGTTTTTTAATACTGGTAGCCAGATTTTGTTCATTTTCATGGTTTCCTCCTTTCTGTTGAAATTGCCCACATGCTTGTGGATTTCAATGGCTTCTCTGTGTAGTCTGTGTATTCTGACATGCTACACATATGCTGTGTCCAGGTTGGTTCATCAGGTGCTCTGCTATGTCTGACTTCTCTGGTTCAAGTAGTCTGCAGTGCCTTTCATGTTCCTTGATTCGTGTTTGGGCGCTGTGTTTGGTATATATTGTTGCACTCCAAGTCAGGAAAAAGCCCTCTGACTTTAAAACACACCACACGAAGAGTGAAGAAACAAATGTTCTTTTATTGAAGCTTAGTAAACAATCAGATGAAATAAATGCTTGTAAGAAAATAAGAAAGTTCCAAAAAGTAATAAGTTCATAAAAGGCAGTAACACAAAACAATGTCCACATCAGATATAAAAGCAATCCAAGACAGCATTTATCCAGACAAGAATCAACAAGAAGCAAAGACAATCCAAAAAGCTAAAAAAAACTCCACAGGAACAAGACCCTTTGAACAGGATTTCCATGGCACATGAACTTGATTTCCAAACGATGCCTGATCTAAAAGGTTTCCCCTTGAGGCAAACCTTAATCCCAAAACTCAGAAATTGGTTTCGCTTTCCCCCACATTTACCCCTTATCAGACAAAGCCTTTCAGAGTGACGTAAACACTGAGTTTGCTGTCGATCCTGGCTAATCTCTAGCCGCCTATTATTCAGCTCCCTATCTGGCTCTGGCTGCTCATTAAAATTCCCAGGTGTCAGATAGTTTTCCAAACCCAAATCTTGAGAGCTCACAGAGAGAGGGAGTGAACCATCATTGCTAGGCCCAGTAGGAATATTCTCACGAGAAACTGCCCTTTGCACTGGGGCCTCTTTGTCATTGTCTGCCTGAAAATCATTGACCAAACTGTCTCCATCCTCAGCACCATCATTTCTCTATCATTTCCCACATCAGGATCCTGAAACACAAACACAGGCTGATTCCCAACACACACACACACACACACACACACACACACGAATGCTAGAACAAACCAGGCCTGAGCTCTCTCTAGAAGCCAAGTTGACTAAAGTGAGGCTACTGTACTTTGGCCATATCATAAGACACAACTCACTAGAGAAGACAGGAATACTTGGTAAGGTAGAAGACAGAAGGAACAGGGGAAGACTGCATTTCAAATGGATAGATTCAATCACAAAAGGCCCTAGCAGGACTGTTGATAATTGTGTGAGCTGGAGATCTCTCATTCATAGTGGCATCGTAAGTCAAAGTTGACTTGAAAGTATTGAATAGCAACAACAATAATGATCTTTCAGAGCAGCAAAACAGTAAAACCCCTTAAGCTCTCTCCATCTTCCACATGGCAGCACTTACATACTTGAAAATGGGTTTCTTACCTATTCTTTTCCAAGCTATATATGCCCAGCTCCCTCAAGCAATTCTCATAGGACTTGATTCCTATATTTCCTCTTGACACATCAAGGTGTGAACAACATTGTGCATGACAGGCAAGCCATCTCTTGCCCTAAACTAGCTTCCTGTAACATCCCTACTGAAGTAAAATTCAGTTGCCATTTGCCCAGTTCTCTTCTGTAACTTGGGTTGCTCATCATCCTGTCCTTTGTGTTCACAGCAAGGCATCTTGCAAGTAATGCAGTTTTTCAACATACGTTGCTGTCTTTATGTTCAAACATTTCCACTCCATAATTGCAATTACCATTTTGTACATTTTGCTATCCGTTGCCTAAGGCAAATGACCTAAGGGACATAGCCAGCTATCAAAATAAAGTGTGCCAATTTTTTTAACACAGAAGTGCTTGTTTAGTGCTTTGGCAAGTCCAGGACTTTGAGAGGCAACATGTTGTAGACTAGGTTTATATTCTCTGCTAATCCTAAGGATGTTTTCAGGCATCATAATGTTTGTCCTTACTTTGAGGGTATTAAAACCCAGCCATAAGACAATGTGACGGTTTTCCATCGCACATTCATGAAGTTTCTGTAGTAAGAAAAAAATTGGAAGATGCAATGGAGAAATGCAGAGTCTTGGTAAAATTCCTTGGTTGCACCATAAAAGCCTTTTCTAGAAGCTCCCTATTTCTCCATTTTGAAGGACACATACATTC